TAAAAATATATTTTTAGAAAAGTTACATACTGCACCTTTAACGTTGACTTATTTATTCCATCTTTTCATTGTTCAGAAAAAAATATGAAAAAATAAATAAACAAACAGAAATCTATCCAGATACATGGAGCCCTTGGATAGAGTGAGTTTGAATGTGTTTGGTTGAGAAGTGTAAATATATACCATTCTGATATCCTATTGGACTGAACTCACTCCATCACACCTGTATGACACAAATACATCACATTCCAGCAGGACATACTGCAGCAGATGGAGCCTAGAATGAAGATGATCGAGGCTGAAACAACTAGTCTAGTCAGTTAATTCCAAATTTTTCAACCTTAACATTTTTAATTTAATATAATACTCATTACTGACTTTAGAAGAAAAGGTGGTGGGGGCGGGTTGTACGCTCTAGAACCCTGTGGCACAGCCTAAGCTTTTATCACTAAAGGCTTTTTTTAASTGTTCATTRCTTTTACTTTTATACTTTAAGTAGTTTYWAAACCAGTACTTTTATACTTTTACTTGAGTAAAAAGCTTGAGTTGATACTTSTACTTCCAAAAACGTATTTTTAAATCCTAGTATYTATACCTCTGCTTAAGTAATGAATGTGAATATTTTTGGCACCTCTGATTAAAATGTAATGAACCAGGTCCAAGTATAGAACCCTGAGGCACCCCAAAGGTTAAAAAAAAATAACTACTAGCAAAGATGAAACAAGAATGATGTGGTCAACTGGGTTAATAGCAGCAAAGAAGTCTGAAAAAAAGTCAAAATTTTACTTTTGTTTATTTGTGATTTAATCTGATCAGGAATCCCAGACTTCCACAACAACATAAATGTCTGACCTTTGGATCTCCTAGTTGGAAGGTTATAGGCACATGCAGGCACAGCGACCTCTATGGGCACAGTCGGCGCCATTACTGCTCGGTAGTGGTTGTCGTGGAGGCGGATGCCCTGGTGCTCCGTTGGCGGAAGCACGGCACTGGCAACCACCTCAGCAGCTTTCTGGATCTTGTCTAACAGAGAGTCGGTCCCCGCTGTGAGATACAGGTAGAGACATGAAAGTAAAGACGTTCTCACACAGAACTGTTTTATTYGTGGTTGTTGTGCGACTCTCACCTGTCCCCTGCTTCCCTGAACTGTGTCCAAAACCATGSAAGCCTGGCCTGTGGGAACCTGTTGATCCCATCCCTGGACAGAAACAGACCAGTTGTAGTCAAACACACTGAATGACACTGTCAGAGATTCAAAGAGGTGGTCTTTTAAAATGTATGCAATTTATGGAAATCTATCAGAGGACACAAGATGTGCTTTAACATAAAATATACTGGACATTTGGAGAGTAAAAATGTTRTTTTARAAGGTTTCATTTTGATACAACTTGTCTTAACAAAACCTATCTCTGTCTAGAACAAATGTTGTATTTAGTTGACTTTTTTAACATGCGTTCATATATAAACACACATTTTCTTTATTTTCATTATTACAACACAGTATCAGGGACACACTACAATATTTTWTTTCTTACAAGATTAAAATCCCAATATTACAAAAACAAAGTCATGATACTATATGAAAAAATCGTACAAGAATAAAATTATAGTTTTACAAAAATAAAGTCACAAAATTAAGTGAATAAAGTCACGGTATTCTGAGACTAAAATCTTGATTTTACGAGAAGTTGCAATAATACATGAATAAAGTCACATGAGAATAAAGTTATATTATGAGAACTCCTACATGAAAAAGAAGTCGTGCCAGTGTGTTAAAATGAGGAATGCTGAGCATCTTGTGAAGTTATATTTTAAATATTTTCTTATTTGTAAAACTGATACCAATCTTTGAACATATCAGTATCAAATTATTAGCAGTAGCAGGAGTTTGAAATGATTACAATGATTTATTTTTAATGGCTGCCCTGACAGTATTAGTCATTTCATTATGTGGATGGAAGCATATTACATKAACTGTGACCCAAAACAAATCATGGACTATTTCATGAACTCTGCTAGGCACTTGGGCCAGCTCCTCTGGAGGAATCCCAAGGTGTTCCCAGGCCAGCTGAGAAACATAGTCCCTCTAGCGTGTCCTGGGTCTTCCTCTGGGCATCCTTCCAGTGGGACGTGCCCAGAACACCTCACCAGGGAGGCGTCCAGGAGGCATCCTAACCAGATGCCCGAGCCACCTCATAATTTGAAAAAAAAGGAAAAAAAAATCTTGTAGTGTGGACCTAATACTTTGTCGTTCCTTATAAACTGTAAACCCCACATTTTAAAAAGTCCTTAATTTTAAGACACCAAGAAAAAAACATCTTAACCCTTCCCTTCTACATATTTATGTTTTTGGCACCATTGCTTTTATTGAGTGAAAGTATTAAAATACAAATAAGATATTGCCATATTGAACACTCACCCATTGTTGGGGGTGCTAYGCGGTGTGCAGTCATGCTGCTTTTGTTGAGAACTGCATCTGAGAAAAGCAACCGGGCCACTTCCTGTAAACGAAGAATGTAATAAAACTTATCAGTCACTAAGATGTTAGGTAGTAAGCAAGTATATAAAGCTGAGATTACGATAGGTTTCTCCTTGCACCTTACCTGTGCTGTGTTCCTCACTTTTTGGTAAAGTGCTGTGCCATGGATGGGATCAGGAGGGCCACTGTAAACTGAGAGCAAACCACATTAAGATTCACATTACTGTTCAGCCACAAAGTAATAAGAGGGAGATGGAGATGAAGATAATGTCTCACTTGATGCTTGCTGGATGAAAGTGGAATTCCTCCTGAGCTCTGTAAGGAAATGATTTGATCCATGACCACAGAGATGGACAAAGATCTTCAGCACCTGACTCACAGGAGATTAAAACCCTTAAAGACTTGCAGAGCAGAACAAGAATACAAAGGTTTTGCTTCTGATGCACTGCTCTTACCTTCAGTTTGACATGGCAGGATTCAACTTGTAGCCTCTCCAGAAGGTATTCCAACAAACACTGACCATAACCTGATGACTCCTGGCAGATTTCTGCAGGGTGTTTGTGGTTAAAGACGTAATAATTCAGAGCATAATGACCCAATAAACATGTAGATGTCATGGCTAAATTACCACTTTAGTGTTTTTCCATAACTCAGTTAAATTAAAAGACAGATCAAGTTATCATAAGGTATGTCAGATATATAAAACCACAGAACAGGGAATCCCTGCCAACCAAGGATACTTCCAATCTCCTGGAAAAGGTAGCCAGGACAGGGCGTTTCATCATCTGCTGTAGCCTTCATGAGGGTGGGAACCTTTAATTGTTGGAATAAACATTGACACAGATGTACCAAGGGAGTCACTACTTGTAAAACATTCTAAAGTTTCAACAAAATTACTTATTATTTTAAATGACAACCTGACATTTCCAGGATAACACGACTAGGAAGGCTGTAGCTAACAGGCTAATAGTAGCAAGCTTTGAACATAACAAATATAAAAAGACACGTCAAAATTCCCGCCCTATTTACCATATTTTTCTTAKGCATTTATTTTGACGAGGAGCACTGCCTTAGAAATATCACTTACTTTTTGAAGAAAAGCTAATCGTTCCATAAATGTTGCCATGATTTAGCAGTCGAAGCTGCGGGTAACTCATTTTCCTGCTAATACGTGAGGGCGGGGCCTAATGTGACATCTAGCCAATCATGAAGCACTAAGCGGGATCCGTGGGATACTATTGGCGTTCAGCTCACTTCTAAAAGGCAAATCAGATTTCAGAAAATCCCTCCACCTCCTGGACCTACTTTCATTGACAGGTACATGAGCCAATCACATTTGGGTATATCCTGCTGTCGCTTTCTTGGTGACGAAGTCGTCAATATGGCGCTGTCCATAGTTTATAAGAATGCCATCTCTCCTGTATGACATATATTTTTCTTTTTCACTAATTTAGGGTTGTCGGTGCACTTACCAAACTAACGAGCAACGTAGGGGTTTGAAAGGGTTTTTCTTCTTTATTGTTAATGTAAAACGCCACAGGACTTGTGTTAATGCCCGSTTATCATCATGTCGGGGTCAAATGTGTGGAGTCGCAGCCGGGAGAAAATGAGACTCTTCTCTGAACTTTTTGCACAGTGTGCAGATGAGGTAAGCATTCAGAAAACATATTTGTGACTAAAAGCGTTTTAAAATAAGAAGGTAATTGTGAACGAATACATAAGACACGAACAGGTTGATCTTGAAGTTTAAAGAGACTTTTGTTTTCGTTTACAGAAATATAAGATGCAAAGTTAATGGGTTGTTAGTTCACACTTTTCAGTCTCTTGAGGTTCAGTTAACATAATCTAACAGAGCTTTTCTTTCCAAAAGTGAAGAAAAATGGGAGTCACAATTGCAAAGTGCAAGTTAACGTCATTCTTGTAATTATTCAAGTCATTTTGTGCTTTAGGCAGCAGTGTATGGAAAGTGTGTCGCAGCAACAACTACAAGCAAACAGGAGCTGAAGAAGGACCTGTGTGCTAAGGAGTTCCAGGCTCTGAAGACCTGCTTTACAAACGCGGTAAGTCAGATCTCATTATGCGTTTTAAATAAACATACAAATATTTATCTATAATTATTGCTCATCTTTTGTTGTACAGGCCAAGAGAAGAGCCAAATGAACCTCAAATGTCTTGAGCAGCAAGTTGAAACGGAGCAACTTTAAAAAAATTCTGCTGATCTGCAGGAAAAGAAAAAAGTTGAACTTATTGAAAATAGTGTAAGGTTAATTTGTAACTGCATGTGGATGTACAACTTTAACACATACAAGTCTAAAATGTATAGAAAAATGTTTTTATCTTTGTATTATTTAAAAAAACTTGTCACAGTTCTTGTGGATTTTTTTTATTTATTGATTTTTAAAATGTACATGAAAACATACATAGGAAAATACTCTGTTGTGCAACGCTACAGTAAAGCTGAGGTGCTGGAATCTCCCAAGAGTTTGTTTATGAAAACTGCAGAATGTCCATTTTCTATCAGACTTGTTTTAACAAAGGTTTCAAACAAGTGAAGACTCCAACAAAAAACAGTCCGTCTAAGTGAAATAACACTTGTGTTCTGCAGCAAAACTGAAAGGCACTAAGAACTCAAKACAAACATGGAATGTTTCAGTAAAGTTATTTCTGTAGGCAGTAAGGCTACATTATGTTCCTCTGGGTTGGGCTTAAATTGTTCCCTTTAACTGAAAATATACAACCACTAAAATAGAGCTTTGACCTACATTATGTTTCATAGGTCAGTGATGCAAGAAAATATTAATTTCCATCAGAAAAATCACAAGTTTTTAATCCTCGAAGAAAATCAAATAAAACTCAAACCGATTCTGGATAGCCTGACTCTGAGCTGCTGGGTAAAAWGGAAATTCAACCGACACAAACGTTAAATACAGCTTTTCCAGGCAAAATTTTCCATAGGTAGAATTTGCATAGATGTATTTACATTTACACAGTGACCTCTCTCCGTTTGTTCTCTTTAGACTAAAATAAGTTAATATTTACATACTTTGGTAACAAATTTGGGTTCTATTCGATGTATAAAGAAAGGCAAAGCTGAGCCCAAATGCTTTCAGAAGATGAGGACTGTAAGGCAGTGTGGTCCACAGTATGAGAATGTGCTTTCAGGCCATGAAATATGTGTATGTATGTGTGTGTATGTATGTGTGTGTGTGTGTGTGTTTCTGATGTGTGTTATTTTGTTCCATCATCATTCTCTGTGGTCTGTTTCATCTGTCTGGAGTGCACCACGGCGCCGGCCAGCAGCTGCTGCTCCAGGGCAGCGTGCAGGTCTGAGCCCCCCAGCTCCAGCAGAGGCTCCAGCCCAGGAAGCCCTCGTAGCTCTGCCGAGTCCTCCGGGGGGGCTGCAGCCTCTCCAGGTCCCAGCTCCCTCCGCCTCCGCCTCAGATCCGTGTCTTCCTGCTCCCTCGCCTTCTCGTTGGAGCTCTGGGGGCGGGGCTCAGCTTTGATGGCCCCATTATCTTCCAGCCCTTCTCCGGGGTCCGCCTGAGCAGCAGCTTGTTCTTTGAGGTCTCGGCCTCCGTTTTTCAAAGGCTTGCCCTCGCCCCCCTGCGCCGCCTCGTCTGTAACTTTGGCTTCTCCGGCCCTGTGCTGCACGGCCAGCCTCTCCTGAGTCTCCTCCGCCTGCAGCACTTTCTTCACTCGCTCCTTTATTTCGCTGTCTGCTCTCTGAAGCTCCGCTTTCTCCCTCTCCAGCCGCTCCTGCTCCTCTCTCTTCTCCCTCTCCAGCTCCTCTCTCTTCTCCCTCTCCAGCCGCTCCTGCTCCTCTCTCTTCTCCCTCTCCAGCCGCTCCTGCTCCTCTCTCTTCTCCCTCTCCTGCTCCTCTCTCTTCTCCCTCTCCTGCTCCTTTCTCTTCTCCCGCTCCAGCTCCTCTCTCTTCTCCCTCTCCAGTCGCTCCTTCTCCACCCTTGCTAGAACTTCTTTTCTTATCCTCTCCTTTTCATCCCTCTCTAACTGCTGTTGTAGGGCCAGCTTTTCCTTCCTCTTCAGCTCTTCTTTCTCTAGTTTTACCCTTTCCAGCTCCTGTTCTTTGGCCACCTTTTCCTTTACCTGCCCATCAACTTTATCTTTTTGTACWTTTTCTATACGATTTTCACTCTTTTCTTTTTCTTTATCTATGCTTCTGTCTTCAAYTTTGACTTGTTGAGCCTGATCATTTCGAGCCGCGGGTGGTCTGTCATCATTTTGTTTCTTTCCTAGGGGCACCCCTCTTGCTCCCAGCTCCCTCTGCTTCTGAGACTCTCCTCCAGGTGCAGCGTTGTCGTCTTCCTTGTAGGGTGCTGGAGTGTCTGCTTTAGCCCCCTCGACTTCAGCTGCTGTATCCCCGGCTGGAGCCTGATTCTGAGGCGCAGCGTGAGCCTCGTCTCCTGCAGCCTGTGGAGCTCCGRCTCCTCTCGCCTCTGACGCCAGGCCAGACTCTCTGGGCTTCACTGCTCCACCCTCTGGAATGCCTTTCTCCGCATCCACCTCAGCAGCTCCTTCAAGTAACAAAAAAACACATCCCATTTGAATAAAACGCACAATACTGCCCAACAGTGTGCACACACCATGTTCATTAGGCAGGATAGTTCCAACTCATTTAAAGCCAATTTTAAAATGATATGTTTGACCAACAAAAGGTCTTCAATTAAAATTCAGTGAGCAGCTAAAGATAAATATGTTTATGAAATAAAATAAGTAAATAAACTAGATGGATAAATCCCTTTAAGTGAAATTAGCATTTAAAATGGAGCTTTTGGAACAGTCATAATACAGTGCTTATTTAAAATAAATGCTGTGCTGCTCTTTTTTCCCCCCTCATGTTTCACGTGTTAATAGCAATACTATAAAACCTCTGCAGTCCTGCACTTAAACAGGACTATTGTATTAACTACCCTGGTGACAAGCACTAAAAATCATCTATGTTACTAAGATTTAATGACAAATGAGTGAATGTGAAACTTTTCTGCACCCTCAGGTTAGACTTGAGATATGAATAATTTGTGTTTAAGAGTAACGCTTCATATTTCACATTTTAATACAACTCTGTCTCTATTGAGGCAAAAACGTTGGGAAATCTCCAAAGAAAGAATGAACACAAAGTGTTCGTCCAGTCTGGATAAACAATCTAGTTTTCAGTAGCTATGTTTACATGCGCAAAATTCTTTGATCGGATTGAAATGTATTCCGATTAAATAATCTGAATGTATCGTTTACATGGGCGCAATCTGATCATGATGAGTGTTTACACGCACCAGGTTTTTATTCAGAATAAAAGCACTGACATGCGCAGTTGTTAACTTTCCCTAAAAAAAAAAAAAAGTTCTACTTTCGTCATGAAAGCTAAACAGCTTCTGAGCTCAGAATGGACCTGCAACGTCTTTTAATAATGGTGGAGACGTTACTGCACTCTCTGGTTGAGCTGCAGGTGACACGCTGACTTTTTTTTTTTTTTGGCAAAGGCTGTGTGTCTTCTTTATTGAATGAGAGAACAGGAGGAAAAGTTCTGTGATGCTGAAAACTCCCTCCGTCCACAAAAGAGCAGAAACTGCTGGATGAAAGTCAAAAGACATGCGCAGTCTGGTCAGTTTTCCACAATCAGAATAAAATGATCAGATTAAGTGTTTACATGCACGTCGTTCAGATTATCAATCGGCATAAACCACCTCTCTCGTTCCGATTACAAATTCATTCGGATAGAGCTGAATCGGGTCAGAATAATCTGAATGGGGTGTTTACATGATGCACTTTTAGTCCAAATGGCCGTTTAATCCGATTACTTATGTCCATGTAAACGTAGCTAGTGATCTTGACAGCCATCAGCCATGGTTTTGTTTTACTGAGTTTGTGAAACAAAACAARCTGCCAGCCTGCAGACAGGAATAAGACTCTACTGGAAATGCTATAACTTCTGTGCAGCTTAAAATTAATTACAATAAATGCTTAAAAAATGCACAAATATTGTTTTTACTATTGAAATTGAACAATAGATCTGGGGCCAAATTCCTTTGGGTCTAAATTCAAACTGCGTTCTGTCATTTGGTGACCTACAGAATATGGGAATGAAGCATCAGGCAACTTCATCACCTCATGTAAAATAAAMAGCTCTCATCATTGTTTAATAACTGCAAAGTGATTATCGAGGAATCAAATGTTTTAACTAAGAAAACATCCAAATTGCAGTATTCATGTGTGTATAATGCTAAAAAATTTAACAATGTAAGTTTGGGAGGGGGTCTGATTAAACACGGAAGTAAATTTTGACCACTTTTTTTGCTAATGTACTATCACCATACATTTTAATATTTTCTGAGAGGCACGGGTTACATTATAATTTCTCCCTTTGCCCTCCAACTGTAGAATACGTTGTGCATAGCTGAGCATATAAACAACAGTAGTTTTTTTTTTCACACTGGAGTCGGAGGGAAAACAAAAACAAAACCTTTTTCTTTCTTGTTCCCTGCAGCGATGGAAAGAAAACGTGTCAGTTGCACATTTATGTGCTCAAAACAACCAGACGAGCCGTCCATCTTGCTAATTTAGCAACCTTCTTCTGCTGTTGGACCAGACAGTTTTCAGCAGCATGCAGCCATTTGCTCCTCCCACAGCCACAAACACGCCCACACAAGTGTGTGTCCTCAAAAGAAGGGTTGTATTATATACTGTACATGCATGATTACAGTACTTACAAACCAACCAGTTAACAGTGAAGCAGCTATAAGAAACAAGTGATCTGCCTTTAATTGTTTGTGAAGTTGCTTCAATCAATGTCAGAGTGTGATGGTCATGATTATCAATTTAGTTTGACACTTTTGTCTTTTGTCAGAATTAGAAAAAGCTTTTAAAATGAGGCACAGGATCAATAAATAATCCTAATGGACACAATTTGTTTAAACCCACCAGGAGGTTGTTTCTGGTGSATTTCCTTGTGTTGCTCTTTTATGACATCCAGTAATTTCTCCTGCTGGTCAAGAAGTCTCTTCTGTTGCTCTTGCTGCTCCTTGATCACCTGCAGCAGCACGACGTGGTCAAGCTGGCCCTCTGCATGGAGACAAAAACAAACAAATAAACAAAACAACTTAGAAGCAAACAGGAAGCAGCTGGGAGAGAAATTCAATTGTTAGGAAACTAATGAGAAGTGGAAGGATTTATTTACACACAACTTAAGCTGAAGCTTTAAACTGCAAACAACAGCTGTAGAAACACAAACTATGTTAGGGCCACAGTGAACAAGTTTTTTTTTTTATTAGAACATGACTGATTCATTGTTAAGTGATGCGCTACAGTTTTAAGCAGTTTAAAAAGAAAAAGAAAAGCTGCTACATGAATGAAGAATAAGTGACAGACTGATGAGAAGAAAAGGCAAGAAATTCATACCTGCAACCAGCTTTTTTATCACTGTGATTTGAGTCCAGCAGAGAGAAATAAAGGCGGAGGAGAAGAGAGAGAAGAAGGCAAAAGTAAACAACAGAATATGAAAGTAACCAGGGCCAACAAGCTGAAACAGATGGCTAAGAGCATCAAGAGTTGTGACTTAAAAAAAACATCTCTGTACTTTACACCTTCAAAAAAAGCTACAATAAGCACTGAGGTAATAAAATAAGAAGCAAAGAGAGATCAGAAAAAAGAAAGAAGCATCCAACAGACCACTGGAAGACTGATTTTCTAAACAGCCAAATTACAAAAAGGAAAGAAAAAAAACAGCTCTCAGCCACATACATCAGCGGTAACTGTCAAACTAATCAAGTTTTTTAATAAAATGATTGTAATTGCTTATATTTCAACTTTAGAGTTCAGTAAGACAGATGCTTCTGATCAACAAGAAGCCTTTTTAAATTTACAGCTTTTTGTGCTTTGATTTTAAGACGTAGATGTGATTCAGTTTCAACAGCAAGCAAGAATTTTAAAGCTGCAACTTCAACAAAACTGCATTACTTAATTGAAATGTAARGTTCCAGTTTAACCTACCCTCCATCTTTTCATCTGCTGTATCTTTGCTGTCTGCGGCTCTTTCAGCAGGATGATGCTCTCCCTCAGGAAGTGCAGCTGAAACAACACAAATATCACGAGCAAAATGACCGTCTTCTGTTAAGGTTTTCATGTTGGAAAYGGTTTTAAAGCATGGGTTTGAACGCTGACCTTTTTCTGCAGGTTTGGCAGCCTTGTTAACTTGTGCGCCTGCAGCCTGATTGGCTGCGTTTTCTGCATGTTTAACGGGATCAAGATGTTCCACCCCCTTCAGTGGAGCTCCATCTTCCTTTCGGCCTTCTACCTTCTCCAGCACCTCGTTAGACACGACGTGACCGCCTGCTTTCTCCGGTTCGTTTCGCGCAGCTGCCTCCGCCTGTTTCTCCTCAACCTYGGCCTCTTTTCGGTCTTCCATCTTTAGAGGAATTTCTTGCTCAGGAACTTCTGGTTTGTCCTCCACGCTCTCAGCGGGCGCTTTCTTCTTTTCCTCTTCCAGCTCGGCTTCGTTTTTTCTCGAGTCCACCCTGACGCTGTCGTGGGGGATGGGTGGTTCGTGGCGATGGGCTTCTCCCTCCGGCAGCGCGACRCCTGAATGGACAAAGCACCGTTAATTCTACGCAGCTCAAAGTCTGGGTAAAGTTCTGGTTTTGCTTCAGAGGGTCTTACCGGCGTCTGGGCGGTCCACCTGCACCACCTTCTCCTCCTCTCTATCAGGAAGTTCGACCGGTCCTTTGATTTGAGGAGGCTCGTCCTGATTGTTCTTTCCATCCGCAGCTGGAAGACCAGGATTTTCTTTCATCACTTCTTTTTCTGGGAGTTCGTCTGTTTAAAAGAGAAAAATAATTATTTCACAAGTGAAAGGATTACTTTACTGTTATTAAACACAGTCAGAGACCATTTGACTAAACTATGTTTCACATTACTGAACAACTACAGCATCAGCTCCTGCGTTGGTTAACTGAAATTATAATATCACCCCTTTCCAGAGTTCCTGCTGGTTTCAGTAAGTTAAATTTAAGACATTTTAAGACCATTAGGAATGAAATTTAAGACCAACCCGATGCATTGACAGAAATATTCAAATGGCTCCAGAAATTTTTAACGCATAAATGTCATAATATTGGTTTGACTAATATCAATTTACAATCTATTTTAGTGTCATAGTTGAAAGAAACTGAATTACAAAACTAAGACATAGAAAGGCTATCACAACTAAATACACAACTCTTCAGAGGTTTTTTTGGGTCATAAATTGAGCCATTTCCTGCCTGCAGTTATGGCGGGATTTGTAGTTTAGGCACATATCAACACCAGTACCAAACCCAGCGGCGCTTCATGAAGACAAATCGCATAAACTTCTGCATTCACGCGGCTAACGTGTCATGGGAATGATTGAATGTAAAAAAAAATAAGACTTGACTAATCTAAATTTAAGACCTTAGATGAAAATTCGGGGCGTTTTTTTAGACTTTTTTAGGCCTAAAATTTAGATTTTAAATTTTTAGACCTTTTTAGACTTTTTAAGASCCCGCGGGAACCATGCCTATCTGTGTGTGCATATTTGTGTTCGTATGTCAGTCTGTTAGCAAAATATCTTGAGAGGTAACAGGCATGTTTTAATGAAACTTACAGAAAGGAATCACCGAACGTACAACTGATTAACTTCTGGAGTCAACACAGTTCAAAATGAGCGTTRCAGAAAATAAAAGCCAACAAAAATAACTGAATCAGTTTTACACACCGAGCTAAAATTGTGTGCGGAAGTAGCTGAGAGTAATTCACACATACTCGGAGTGCTAACAGGTCTTGTAATATAACAAGAGGTTAGAAAACTACCYTTTTTATCATAAGATGATCTGAGATATGCATTTCTTTAAAAAAATCTTAGCCAGTTTCAATGTCTGATTAAAGAGGACCCACTAGGTGGCAGCAAATGTCAAGCGTGCTTTGAGCTGGCAACACTGGTACCAAACTGATTAAGGAGATGAGAAAGGAAGATGATTCAAACTGATGAACAGGAAAYAGGTGCAGAGTTTGGCCTGCAACTCCAACAACAGAGGGGAAAGGTACAGAAAAGATACGACGGAAGGACGAGAGTTTCCTGCATCGATGAGCAGGTCGGAGCAAAAAGAACAAATGTGGTAAAAGGAGGAAGAGATGGTGAAATGTCAGGTTTACCTCCAGACTCCTCTTGATTTACCACCCCCCCCCCCAAAAAAAATAAAAAAAATAAAAAAAACCTGCAAACATTAGCAGAAACTGTTTCCTCAGAGTCTCGCCTCAGTTTGTTTGATCGTTCGCCAAACTTGCATCAATCCTCTGCTCCGTGCAGCCGCAGCTTGCAGACATTTTCTAAGAGCCACAGGAGATATGAGGGTAGGAGAGGTTGAAGACGCTGTATTTTACCAGAGAGGGGGAGCGGCAGGAGAAATGAACAGAGGCAGAGGGGAGGAGAGAAATTGCCTGAATTTGAAGGGCATCAATCTCGCTTCATCAATGTCAAGCACTCGGCGCTGCTTTCAGATATTATCAAGAGGTTATCTCTTCAGCCTGTCTGTCTACCAGTCGCTCCGTCTGTCTCCACCTTTTTTCCCCTCTCAGAGATAAAAGAAACTCTTTCTTCTGCTGTGGCTTTGTGCTTTTGTTTTAGTCTCACTGGCCCGTTATTCTGGTTTGTATCCTCTTTACACTGTTCATTTAAGGMGATGGACCGGTCCGTGACTTTGAAAGGAAAACAAGAAATAAACACGTCTCCTGTACTGCCGGTGCGTTTTTACATAAAGTAATTACATGCAATGGTGTTGTCCAATTGTACGCACTGCAATACAGCCCCAGCTCTGGCCTGTTGAGGTAAATGTTTCCACGGCTCATTAAAAAAACACTTTCATTTCCAGTCCATCAACTGGGTAAGTGTCTGCCAGCCATTAGAGGAAGTCATGATCTTTACCGTGCGGTTCGGAGAGTTCTGGTAGCGGCTGCCTGCTCCTGTCAGCTGCTGGGGGAGGATGAATTTGGACACTGGAGCTGGAGGTACGGGCYGATATTGAGAGAGTGGTAAAGGTGCTGATGAGCAGGATGCCGAGGCCAACACACAGCACGAGCTGCAGCACAGAAGGACAAAAACACGTGAAGGATCTGGAACGGCRGTTCAAAATGTTCGCCAAACACAATCAAAAGGACAGGGTAGAAGCTAACCTGAGAAACACAGCCATTCTTCTGGATCTTTCTGTAGATGAGAGCAGGACAGATGAAGCATATGAGACTGCCCATGGTGGCACCAGTCAGACCCAGGATGGTTTCCACTGGGAACAGAAACAAACACACAGAAATAAGTAATGATTCCTACCGAGCACTCTCAGAGAGATGTTTTGTTTCTTAGCTATACATGTATTTTTATGGTTTTTAAATTTTTTTAAATTGCATTGTATTTTTTTTAACAGTATAACGACAATTTTTTATTTTACCATTTTTTAAACCAAGCAAATCCCACTGAGATCACAGATCTCTTTTTCAAGGGCGGCCTGGGCCTGAAGGCAGCTTATTGTACATGGTTTTGGGATGTGGGGGAAACCGGAGCACCCGGAGAAAACCCACGCAAACACTGGGAGAACATGCAAACTCCACACAGAAAGACCCCAGGTCCGAACCGGGGATCGAACCCAGGACCTTCTTGCTGTGAGGCGACAGTTCTAACCACTGAGCCGTCGAGCTGCTCAAAAAGCTTTGTGCAGCAATAAGCACTTTGACTTTTGACTGTGTAATTTTCACAGTCCAAGTAAATAAACAGTTGAAATATGCATAATGATAATAAATATTGGGTACCATAAATAAATCAAMGCTGTGATAATTAGACAGAAATAAGGGAAATGTACTACAATAATATATTCTAATGTAATTGCTAATATATCAAAAGATTGAAGTTCTGAATCTTCAAGTGTTGCATTTAGAAGAAAAGTTGTCAAAGGTCCTGTTGACACAAGAACCAACTGGAAATGTTAAGAGTTTTTTCAATGTTGTGGCAAAWTAACATAAAAAAGTGTTTACAATAATCCACTGAAGTTCCATAATCCATTCTTTGAGACCTGGATTAAAAACTATTTTGTTTTAGACTTCCATCATCCTATGTTTAGAAAATTATAGATTTATGTAATTTGGTCAAACCTTGTAAACAAACACTCAGATTATGTGCTAAAGGACGACGATCAGCTATGACAACATCTAATTTGAGCACAATATCAATAAAATGGAATAATTTAGAGTAATTCTTCGGTTTTTGAAGGTCATTTGGTTTTGGCAGCCATCTTGAATCAAGACAGACACATGAGCCTGTGACAACATGTACAAAAAACCTTAATGCATGCCTTTTGCCTCTTGGCCACAGGCAAAAGAAAAAAAGCAAAAACAAAACAAAAAAAATCAAGTCTTTAGTACTTTTTCTGTTTAAGAAAAATCTCTGGAGATCTAAAATTGGTATCGTAAGCTAAATTTATACCAGCGTCTGTATTTTATAGCTGCCACCATCCATGGCACACTGCTCCTGGGGCGGTCAGTGGAAAGCCTTGGCCCAACCTGGGCCTCTGTAGACCGGCCTGCTGGGCATCCAGCCCAGAAACCCATCGTTCATCCAGAGGACGGACACCATATTGTTTCCCTCAGATTTAGTGGCCATTCTCCCCGGGGTCCTCACTCTCTTTCTCTTCAGTCTATTAGTCTGATTAGATACACAAAGACCCCGCCAACCCCCCCTGTGTGTGTGTATGTGTGTGTGTGTACAACTGTGCGGTCACCCGATCAAGCTTTAACAAACAACCACAGGAATGAAGGAAAAAGTATTGCTCCAGCTTCTCGTCGCCACCATTTTGGAGGCAAATGGTCGAAAGGAAACAAACTTAAAGAAACTGACAGAGAGCCAATATTGGTGTGCGTGCACGGACTTGTGTTTTGTGCGACTGTTTGTGTGCGTATGTGAGAGTCGGGAAGAATAACAGCCCTATCTACCTGTCAGCCCATCTAAAAGGAGATAAAAGTTGGGGCCCTGATTTAAAGACTGTGTTAGAGTGTGACAGTCACTGACTCGTAAAGTCACATTCACACACATCGTAAAGCTCCCCAGCTACTCCGCCCACATAAAGGAACACATGCACCTCCAGCAAGCTACACACACACACACACACACACACACACACACACACACACA